CTTATAGGGTGATTAATGGTATTATAGCTTTAGCTAGGCAAGAGAACCTTAGAATTACCCTGGCCGACCTTCAATACTGCTATACCATGTGCCCTCTTGACCTGAAGGATAGGGGTTTCGTTTATTACCTTAAGCCGAGATCTACTTAGTACAAAATTGTAGCCGACCTCCCAGACTCCAACAAGGGGGCTGGAGATGATTTTGTCATTGCTTCTGGAAATTGGGAATTTGGCCCAGATGAAGATGTCCACCTCTACCCTCTACCTCGAACAATTACAGAGGGCAAGAGTAAGAGCCCTGAGTCAACACTTAGTTGTTTTTATTTAAGTCCTTAATAATTTCTGTTTCTGACGTCTGTTTATTTGTTCTGCAGATCTTCATCAGCCACCGAAAAACTTTCGTCAATCCTTCTTCCCAGGAACAGATCTGAAAAAACTCCTTGGCCTTCCAATCCATAAACGAAAAGCCCCACTATTACTAAACTTTATCCCTACATATAAATCCACTTTACCCGACATCCCAAAGAAAAGGAAGAAAAGCCTTTCCCCGCCTACTGCCACAACTCACACCGCTTCAACATCACGAACAGACCAAGAGTCTACATCTGACCCTGTCGATCTTCCATCGACTTCGGCCCCTTACTTAATACCAATCCCAGAACGCAAACGTCGACGAAGACTTGTAAAAACTGCCGAGATGGTTCGTTCAAGGCCCGTCGTTCAAGATCTTCTCGCCGACCTTCCAACCGACGCCGATGCTGTTCCTTCCCAATCAATGCTCCCACCAAAGCCAAAGAGAGTTAAAAAGGCTCAGCCCAAGGCCAAGGTTACAGATGCCGAGGCTGAAGATGTTTTGCCGATTTCTCAACTGGCAGAAAGTAAAAAATCAGCCTCTACTTCCACCAAGAGGTCTGCTGAGGGTCAACCCTCAGGGTCTACGCAATCGAAGAAGGCGAGGTCATCGTTCGCGACGACCTCGGCTTCAAAGAAGCCCGACGTCCCCTGGGCCCCTGATCTATCCCTGGAGGATAGGCCCATTATGGCTAGTGAAAGTGTCGACGATATTAACGTTGGTGTCGCCCTCAGCACTGCTCTTCTCCTTCCGAATGACTTGGAGCGAAATGCTAAGCTTAGTGAGTATGAGAATTATGCTCTCATGCTCCAACACTCCGTTCAAGTAAGTATTTCTGTTTGTACTTGTGATTTTTTCTTCCGTTTTTTACTGAGAGTATTGTCTAACACTTCTGTTTTTCTGCAGGCCATTCAGCATGCCCATTCATTTTCGATGCAATCTTTTGAAAATCGTCAAAGGTTGGTTGATATGAAAAGGGAAGCATCTTCCATGAAGAGAGAGATAAAGTCCCTTGAAGCAAAAATGAAAAAACTGGAGGATCAAGCCGAGGCTGCAACTAAAGCTCAAACTTTAGCTCTTGAGAAGGCCGAATCTGCTGAGGCCGTTAAAAAAGTTGCTGAGGCCGAGAAAAGAGAGGCCGAAGTTCAGAAGGCCCAAGCGGAGAAAGAACTCCAGCAAGCTCTGGTCACCAAAGAGGCCGAAGTCAAAGAGGCCGATGAAAAGGCCTACGCCCAAGGTATGGCCGACGTCGCAGAAGATTATAAGCTTCAAGTCAGGCAGGCATGCAACAGGGGATTTTCCCTAGGTTGGATGTCCCTGATAAAGAAGCTTGATCTCCCTGTTGACTCGCCCCTTCGGAATGCTGATGCCATCCCCTTACCATTTCCTCCACCTCCACCTCCACCTGAAGGCGAATCAAAACCTGATGCTGATGCCGAGGATGAAGATAAGGAGGTCAATGAAGAGGCCTTGGTGAGAAAACCCAAGGATGCCGTCGAAGCCAAGTCCCCTCCTCCTGCAGAGCAGGTTATGGACTTAACCTTGGATGAGGAGGGTGATGAGGCCGAGGAAGCAACCAAGGAAACTGCCACTGGGCAGCTATCGTCCAATCTTCTCTTGATAGAAAGAAGTGTTGAGGAATCATTAGCAGAGATTGATGCCGAGATACAAGCGGAAAAAGTGGCCGACGAGGTTCCACCAGAATCGTCCGAGGTCCCAGTCCCTGTGGTGGCTAACAGTGAAGAATCTTGAGAAAATTGTCTTTTGTACTTTTTCCTTCTTTTTCCGTACTTTGCACTTTTGTAATCTGTTAATTTTTGGACAATGCAAAACTTCTTCTTATGGCCGACATGGTTTTTTTTCAATATGTAATTGCAACTGTTCTTTTCTATGGATGTTTTAATCTTGTGATGTTCTGTTGACTGCTTTCTGCATAGTCTTGTATTTAGAAGTTTTTTGCATGCTTCTTCATGTTGCTTCCTTTGTGCAATCTTCTCGGGGTTACATACCTCGGGTATAACTACAAAACTTTTACTTCGGCAAGATACTAACCTGCAAACTTTTCATAAATTTCACCAAGTATATAACATATATTTCGGAATGTAAACTTTGCAAGCCTCTTCCCAAGTTTCAGCAAGTATTAAATTGAAAAAACTCCTTGGCCTTCCAATCCATAAATGAAAAGCCCCACTATTACTAAACTTCATCCCTACATATAAATCCACTCTACCCGACATCCCAAAGAAAAGGAAGAAAAGCCTTTCCCCGCCTACTGCCACAACTCACACCGCTTCAATATCACGAACAGACCAAGAGTCTACATCTGACCCTGTCGATCTTCCATCGACTTCGGCCCCCTACTTAATACCAATCCCAGAACGCAAACGTCGACGAAGACTTGTAAAAACTGCCGAGATGGTTCGTTCAAGGCCCGTCGTTCAAGATCTTCTCGCCGACCTTCCAACCGACGCCGATGCTGTTCCTTCCCAATCGATGCTCCCACCAAAGCCAAAGAGAGTTAAAAAGGCTCAGCCCAAGGCCAAGGCTACAGATGCCGAGGCTGAGGATGTTTTGTCGATTTCTAAACTGGCAGAAAGCAAAAAATCAGCCTCTACTTCCACCAAGAGGTCTGCTGAGGGCCAACCCTCAGGGTCTACACAATCGAAGAAGGCGAGGTCATCGTCCGCGACGACCTCGGCTTCAAAGAAGCCCGACGTCCCCTGGGCCCCTGATCTATCCCTGGAGGATAGGCCCATTATGGCTAGTGAAAGTGCCGATGATATTAACGTTGGTGTCGCCCTCAGCACTGCTCTTCTCCTTCCGAATGACTTGGAGCGAAATGCTAAGCTTAGTGAGTATGAGAATTACGCTCTCATGCTCCAACACTCCGTTCAAGTAAGTATTTCTGTTTGTACTTGTGATTTTTTCTTCCGTTTTTTACTGAAAGTATTGTCTAACACTTCTGTTTTTCTGTATGCCATTCAGCATGCCCATTCATTTTCAATGCAATCTTTTGAAAATCGTCAAAGGTTGGTTGATATGAAAAGGGAAGTATCTTCCATGAAGAGAGAGATAAAGTCCCTTGAAGCAAAAATGAAAAAACTGGAGGATCAAGCCGAGGCTGCAACTAAAGCTCAAACTTTAGCTCTTGAGAAGGCCGAATCTGCTGAGGCCGTTAAAAAAGTTGCTGAGGCCGAGAAAAGAGAGGCCGAGGTTCAGAAGGCCCAAACGGAGAAAGAACTCCAGCAAGCTCTGGCCACCAAAGAGGCCGAAGTCAAAGAGGCCGATGAAAAGGCCTACGCCCAAGGTATGGCCGACGTTGCAGAAGATTATAAGCTTCAAGTTAGGCAGGCATGCAACATGGGATTTTCCCTAGGTTGGATGTCCCTGATAAAGAAGCTTGATCTCCCTGTTGACTCGCCCCTTCGGAATGCTGATGCCATCCCCTTGCCATTTCCTCCACCTCCACCTGAAGGCGAATCAGAACCTGATGCTGATGCCGAGGATAAAGATAAGGAGGTCAATGAAGAAGCCTTGGTGAGAAAACCCAAGGATGCCGTCGAAGCCAAGTCCCCTCCTCCTGCAGAGCAGGTTATGGACTTAACCTTGGATGAGGAGGGTGATGAGGCCGAGGAGGCAACCAAGGAAGCTGCCACTGGGCAGCTATCGTCCAATCTTCTCTTGATAGAAAGAAGTGTTGAGGAATCATTAGCAGAGATTGATGCCGAGATACAAACGGAAAAAGTGGCCGACGAGGTTCCACCAGAATTGTCCGAGGTCCCAGTCCCTGCGGTGGCTAATAGTGAAGAATCTTGAGAAAATTGTCTTTTGTACTTTTTCCTTCTTTTTCTATACTTTGCACTTTTGTACTCTTTTAATTTTTGGACAATGTAAAACTTCTTCTTATGGCCGACGTGGTTTTTTCAATATGTAATTACAACTGTTCTTTTCTATGGATGTTTTAATCTTGTGATGTTCTGTTGACCGCTTTCTGCATAGTCTTGTATTTAGAAGTTTTTTGTATGCTTCTTCATGTTGCTTCCTTTGTGCAATCTTCTCGGGGTTACATACCTCGGGTATAACTACAAAACTTTCACTTCGGCAAGATACTAACCTGCAAACTTTTCATAAATTTCAACAAGTATAGAACATATATTCAGCTTTTATTTTAACCTGTAACTTTCTGTATACCTCAGTGGGTGGTCATATGTCGGCTTAACATAAACTTGTAAATTGCTACAAATTTCAACAAGAATGGTCATGGACAATCTTAAGCACTAGCATAACATAATTTGTAATTTTATATAAATATAACAATGTTTTGTTTTTTTTTTGTTTTGTTTTTTTTTTTTTTTTTTTTTTTGTTGTTGTTGTTTTGTGTAAAATGGTGATCGGGGTGGATCCCGAAGATGAATAAAATATGGGTGTTGTGCAAATTTGTAAATTGTTGGATTGTTTTTTTTTTTTTTTTTTTTTTTTGTGTTTGTAATAAATAAAAAAGAGATATATATATATATATATAAAAAAAAAAGTGAGGAACAACATGATGTCTGAGAGCATCAATGAAGGTTTAGAATAAAAAATAAAGTTTGAATATAAAAATAAAGTTTGGTCAAAAACACCAGCCCATGGTTTGGGTTTTCTTTTTGCACACTACCAGCAATGGGTTTTGCATAGTGGTTTGATTGGAGATGGGGCCCGCCACTACACATGTTGGGCATCTAATATTGTTGTTAAAGCCATGTTTGAGGAGCTGCTTTTGGGTAGTGGGATATATATATATATATATATATTTTTAATTGGTTTCGCAAAATCAGAAAGAGTGGCCCACGATTTTGTATATATATTATATATCTAATATATATCTAATATATCCCAGCAGCCACACCAATGATGGCTGTTGGCTTCTTCCCTTCCCCGAGTCGCTCTAGCAACTTGAATTCCTGGAACCCACCTTCAGACAGATGCCAGCGTACGCTGGAGAGTTGGGTATCATGCTCTGGCAATGATTCTTTCAGCTTTTCATCAATAACCACAACCGTAATGTCTGCCCCATACTTCTTCACCAAAGCAGTAGTAGTAGTTGCAGCCTGTCTCATTCCCTCAGAGAGGTAAGGATTCCGGTCTGTGATTGGTAGAAGCAGATGCTTGAAATGAGTAAAGGCATCTGCAGCTAAACTGACTTCAGATTCTTGTGGCTTAGCCTCAGCTTTGTGGCCAATGCTTCGGAGATGGGGAAAGAGAGAGAGCTTGCGAGCTGCGGATTTGAGAGAAAAGAAAGGTATGGGAAGTAGAGAAGCTGAAGAGGAGGAAGTGGAAGAAAAAGTAAGAATTGAAGTTTTGTGAGGGTTTGAGGTTTCAAAGGGGATAGCTAGTGAGTAGTGAGCAAAAGCCATGGAGGGACTCAAAAAGAGAGACCTTTTCCAATTCTGTGTGTCCATGTGTGTTGTAGTGTGTGAGAGAAAGTTGTATGTGTGATGCATGGTCTGTGCATCAGGCTGTGTTGCAGTGATTATCAAAGCTTGTTGGAACAACAGTGATAGGAGAGGCTTAGGGTTGATGATTGAGCTGATGAGGATGTTCACGGTGGCAGATGCGGTGCTTCTGCGGCTGCTGTTGCAGTGATTATTGGTGGTGGTCGGAGTGTTGCTGGTAGTAGATGAGAAGATGGAGCAGCCGAGGTGAGTGAGGAGGAGGAGATGACAGTGGCGCACTGGTGGCAGCAGAAATGGAGGGTGGTTGGAGGAATTGAACCTGTTGAATTGGTTGAGATCCGGCGGGCGGTCAAGGCAAGGTTGCCGCCTGCCGGAAGGCGAAGAACACCAAGATCTTTAACCTATAGCTCTGATACCATGTAAGATAAATTGATAAAGAGAGAGAGAGCAAAATGAATAACTCTGTATTTCTGTGTCTGTTGTATTTCTATATATTACAAGAGACTGAGCTCTCTCTATTTATAGAGAAGAGAAGGTGACCGAAGTGTATATTACAATACATTAAACTAAGCTTTCTTGTGTGCTGGTGTGTGCTTTACAGTGTGATCTGAACATGTGATGCTAGTGGGTGTGTGCTGGTGTGTGTTGTATTAACAGAACATGTGATGCTAGTGGGTGTGTGCTGGTGTGTGTTGTATTGTATACTTTAACATTTAGCATTTTGATATATATGTATGTGTGTGTACATTCTTTACATCTAAATAACAAAAACCTGAACACTTAATAAAAAAAGCGCGATTAAATTACTCTGTTCTGACCTTTTTTTTAAGATCCTAAGGCCCAAACTAGAATATTATTTTGCAGTATTACTTGTACTTCGATATCCTAATCCTAACAAGCAAGAATCAGAGTCCTTACAGTGACTTGGGGTCTTGAGTTCATAAAGGTCGACCTCAAAATTCAACATGATCTAATTGAAAACCCATGAGATGAGATTTATAGTCATATATATACAAGCAAGTGATCACTATGGTTTGAGAAGGGTAAAGAGGCAGGCTTATTAATTTCCTGGGTTAGAAGATCTAATTGTAGTTCGCACTGTGTAATCATGTTCAAGTAGCTTCATGATCAGCCATGATGCAACAAACCCTGTTCCACCAGTTACACAAACAATACCCTCATCATTCCCTTCCATCTCTCTCTCTCTCTCTCTCAATTGATGTGTATTTGAATATGTACACACAAACACACAAATATATATGTTACTTTTCTTTGCACTAGTACTCTGTTTTGTATCTTTTATGCCTTATTTTATTCTTTGCAAAGACTAGTGTTTATGTGGACAATTATTGTCTGTGCCACCCTTTCTTTGGTGAATCTGCATCTCATCCAAAAATTACTTTGTCACCCAAACACATCATATAAATGGAAAATAAGAAAAATAGTAATAAATTGATGAATTGTAAGCGAATGTAAATGGGAATTGTGTTATTTTCACCAGGTCTAGATATCATTTGCACTTTGTTAATTTTAATTTTCTCATTTATCTGATACTTTTAAAATAACAACTCTACCCAAATCTGTATGGATAGCTTAGTAGTAGTTTAAGTGTTTTGTCTTGAAAATTGAAATGAACCGTAAATCTAGATACCCCGGGTTTGAGTTTTTCCAATGTTATGATCTGTTTTAATTATTACAAATTGTGGATGCACTATTCCACATCGTTCTGTGAGAGATCACAGCTCCACTACATAAGTGGACAAACTCCCTTAAACTAGTATGAGGCCTTTTAAAGCCGTGAGGGGTTAGCTGTTGGTTTTCGCCTAACTCTAAAGCCGACAATATCATGCTAGTCGGGGAGGGTGAGTTGTTTCATTTGGCTCCGTCTATGTCTCAGGCCGTCTGTGAGCAGGGATAGCTGTTTCATTTGTTCCCTGCTCAGGCAGCCAATCCATTGGGGAGAAGAATCCATTGTGAACTGGCCTACTCTGCATAGATGGATCCAATGTGACCCTAGCTACAATTCCGCCTTATATTATTTGGGATGTTTGTTAGATTTGTTATATGTTTGTGCCTATATGTTAGATTTTTATTATTTTCTTGATATTATTTATGTCACATCTCCTACCAATTACCCAAAATATATTTTTTTTGTCAATTTCTCATAACTCTAGTATTACAAATCACAAATTATAATGACACAAAGCAAATTACATCTCTGGGTTGCCTCGGCAACCAAGCTTTGGGATGAATACTCAAATGCTCACTAGCTATACACACGCCAAATACAAAACAGTTGACACAACGAAGACAAAAAAATAAAAATAAAAATTTCATAGTTTACAACATTATAAACCTTAAAGATATTTTAAGAACTCTAGATAAAGCCCTTCTCTTTGCAGCATTGAATTGTTTCATCGTACATTTCTTCAAGTCTGTATTTATATTTGAACCCAGTATCCAATAGCTTCTTTGATGAGAAATCAGAACGTGTAAAACATTCAATTTCAATTTCTTTTAAGGAACTGCAGAAATAAATGGGGTGATGACTGAGATATGTTTTCTTCTGACAAATGAAAATAACAAGACAAAAAATATGAGAAAAGTAAACAAAATTAGAGCTCACTCAAGTGTTGGTATTGGATATTCTGGGTATCTGGCCGATAAAAATTCAAACATCTTATCGATTGTTATGTCAAATGCCGAACACAAATACCTCCCTTTTGCATGAGGATATTCAAAAAGGAAGATATGTGCACTGGCCACATCGTCTACATGCACCATTTGTATTTTACCAAGATACTTACAATTTTCTTTCTTCCCTGCATAGAATGAAATAAATAATTGTGAAGAATAAATTCAATATGACTTCAATTGACTATATCACCATAAGATTTGATGGCCCTCCTTAATTGTTTTCAAAAACTGCAGGGCTAATATTATTTTATTTTTTAGCAAGCTAAGCTGATTCACAAAGGTAAGCAACAACTCAGGCTTCAACTTGAATCAGATAACTTTGATAATCTGAAATAGTTCTAGCAAAATTCAAGCAGAGGGCACAAGAATCAACACGTACCGAAGATCATTGCCATTGAAAAGTTTACTGAACTGGGCACACGAGGACAGATGAAGGGTCCATTGACAACAGTAGGAATTACAGTGACAAGATCCAATCCATGTTTTTCAGCAAACTCTAGAGCAGCCTTTTCAGTTAATGTCTTCGAGATCATGTATGAAACTCCATAAATCTTTACGGACCTAATATAATCTATATCACTCCAATGATTCTCATCCAAAACATCTAAACCCTTGTCGTTAAACATAATGGTGGATGCGCTAGAAGTGTATACGACTCGTTTCACAGTCTTCGAATCAAGGCATGCCTTTAAAATGCCAAGAGTCCCATTGATTGCTCTTTGGATCTTGATTTCTTCAGGCTCTTTCTCCCCGTAATCAACCGGATGAGCCACATGGAAGACTCCAATGCAGCCTTGGATTCCTGGTTGCATTCGGGTATTCGGTTGAACACCTCGTAGTACCTCTTCTCATAGGCCCTAAGGCCTTCTTCCTTGGTGATTCTTAGAGCCATCAAAGCATCAACCCTCAGGGGTTGCAGCTTGTTGGTCACGAACTTGGCTACAAACATCTCGGTCAGGCCCTCCCATGTCTTTATGCTTCTTTTTGGTAATTTATGGAACCAATCGGATGCAATTTCCCCAAAGGATGAGGGGAATACTTTGCAGAGCAACGGCTCGTTTCCGCTATATAATGCCATTAAATTTAGGTATAGCCCAACATGAAAGTTTGGATCTGACTTACCATCATAGATTTGAAACCTCGGCATACTGAATCTCTTGGGCGGTTCGAATTTGTCCAGTTCCACCGAGAAGGCTGTCTTCGGTTTTACTGGGGAGTTTACCTCGGCTTCTGCATTCTGCTGCCTCCTCTTGAGGTAGTCCCTTAAGTCTTCTTTGCTCCTCCCTGGAGCTCGGCTGCCTTTAGATTTTAGTCTTTTTGGTACACTGCTTTCGACCTCGTGGTGGGTCCGTTTGGACCTTTCTTCATGGGTTGTGTCAAAATGGAGTACTTGCCCCTGAACATGTTGATGTTCTTTGGGGTCCGGATTCTTCCTGTGGTGTGTCCTTCGGGACTCTTCTTGCCTCGGCTTTTTTCGTCCAACTTCCCTGGAGGGCCGGTGAGAATGCGTCCTTCGGGACTCTTCTTGCCTCGGCTTTTCCCGTCCGACTTCCCTGGAAGGCCGGTGAGAATGCCTTCCGCTCCCGGTATGTTGAGGGACCTCGGGGATTGTTTTTCTTCCAGCCTTCTGGGTGTTGGTCGCTGGCATCGGCGTATCTTACAGCGGGTATGGTGGCTGCATAACATTATTCTGCATCATGAAGTTGACGACTGACTGAAGGTCCGACAAATGAAGTTGACGACTGACTGAATCCTCATCCCTTCGTAGGCACCTGTCCCTCCATACCTGGAGGTTATCTTCATTCTTCAGAACCAAAGTTGAAGAAGACCCAAAATAACGAACCAAATCAACTTCAGAACAGAGGCAACATAACCATCAACAAATCAAGTATCCTTGGCAAATCTTCACTCTTCGGCACTGTTACCGAAGCACTAGAATTGGTATATAGCAGCCGCCACCTTTTGCAACGAACAAACAATACACCAAAAATTGTGAATCTAGGGTTTATTATCAAACCTTAGTTGTTTCCAAATTGAATTGGGTCTCCTCAAATATAATATATAAAAATATATTATACCTAAACCAAGCTAAATTAAAACTCTTTAACGAAACAATTGGGTCCCACACTCCAATAAGGAGGTATACCCAACAACAAAAATATTTATAAAAAATAAAAATAAAACTCAAAACAAAACAGTCTCTGTTTTCCTCCATTTTTTTTTGTCATTTTAACTCTTTTTCTCTAGTTTACTTATTCCAACAAGTGATATAAACAGCAACAAAAATATTGGTTTCTATTTTATTTTCAAATCACCCAATCCAAACAAACTGTGTGGATGAAAATCTGACCACAGCCAAATTGTGTGGGTAAAAATCTGACCACACTGCCCGTTTAGTGATCAGTAGCAAAGCACCGGCAGAATAGATGGTTTTAGCAACCTGTAACAGAAAGGAAAAACTCCGGCGGTGGTTCTTCCACCCGGGGGCACTCCGACGATCAAGTCAGTATGTTTCTCAAAGATAATCAAGTACTCGAACTGAATACTCAAAACATAAATCGGGGGCACTCCGACGATCAAGTCAGTATATCTCTCAAAGATAATCAAGTGCTAAACTGAATACTCAAGACACAAAAATACATACCTTAGACCCACGGGGGTGCCTCTCTTTTATAATATACTCAATCCAAGTCCCACTAGAAGTATGACTTCTATGAACTCCAATTTACTGCTTACTCTGGACTCTATAAGAGATAAAGATAAAACTCCCTAAGAGCTTTATCCTTATCTTGGTTAAGTCCCCTCTTTGCCTTAGGACTCATCTCGGATTCCGATATCTTCGGAGATAACCTCGGCTTCTCCGAGATTATCTCGGCTTAACTACCAGGACACGTGGCACCTCAGCTGACACGTCGGCGTCACCATGCCACGTGTTGGTATTCAGAAAATACATCCCCACACAACTTTTAGAACTTATTGATAGTTTACCATTTTTTTTTAACACAATCAATTTTTCCACCATTCCACCATTCAAATGCTAATTTTTGAATTACCAACAACCATTATTCAACAACCTTTGTCCCAATCATGTTTTTATTTTTATTTTTATTTTTTTCTAGTTTAACCTATGATCAAACGACCCACAAACAAATATTTACCTTTTTTCCCTACCCATGAATTTTTTTTCTGTTACCTGTTGATTTCTGGATCGTTTTGGACTTTCATTTCAGGGGAGGGAAGGAACTTAAACTTGAAAAGTTGGGAGGCAATGAAGCCAACATATTTCATTAATTTTTTTATCTTTAGTAAAAAAATAAAAATAAAAAATTAGATTTTTTCAATAACATTTATTTTTTAAGCACATCTAAAAAGTTTTTAAATTTTTTTGAATAACATATTAAAAAAAAAAGTTCATTAAAAACACACAAATTTTAAACTAAAAAATAATTTCCAAAAACTAAACCAACCAGTCAAGTGTTTTTTTGATTAGCAATGCTACAATGATCATGTTTGTATGATGTGTCATCACTATATTGATAGCAAATATGAGTGGTGAGACTCATTCAAACGATGCAATTATGACAAATGAGATGCTAAACGCTAAACATGATATATAAATATGATCATTGTAATATTACTCGAATTTTTTTGTTTGGCATAACCTACCGTAGTACACTTACAGTAGCTCGGGTTAAGACCCGACCCTTCTATACTCTTTGATTCGGGATTCGATACTTATTATTGTTGTTTATACTCTTTTTAGTCTTGTGTGTTGATTGGGTGTGGTTGTTTGAATAGTTGAGTTATGTTTCGAACAGGTTGGGAGTTAGTATTTCAAAGGAAATTTTGTCAATTTATTCTTTAGTTCGCTCGAGCAGTCTTTTCTTCGCTCAAGCAATCCTTTGTTTCTTCCAGAATTAGTGTTTGCAGTCTAAACTTCTGGGAGTAAGGTGTAATTCACACGAGCGGTCTTTCCTTCGCTCGAGCGGTCTCCTTGTAGGCTTGAAATTCTAAGAAGAGATCATTCTTTGCTCGAGCAGTGACTAGTTCGCTCGAGCAATCTATTCTGCAGGGTTGACGTTCTGGGAGTTTAGTTTAGGAGTTTAGTTTCTTTGTTGGTTGGTCACTCAAGCGCTATTCTGTGACTAATGTTTGAGCAATATTTTGGTCGCTCGAGTAGTCTGTACCTATAAAGGTACGGAGAAAATATCTTTTCTTTCACTTTTTGTTTTCCTCTCTCTCTCTCCCAAAAACTTTTTGAGCCATTTCTTCACTCTCTCTCTAGTTCTTGTATAAATCACCCCATACACCCTAATCCTTGAATCTCATAACCTTGGTGATTTGAGATAAAAGGTAGAGCACGAAGAGGTGGTTATTCTGATCCAAAAAAGTACGAGATCTAACTCCATTGATTTTGGAATTGTTTTTCCTTTCTCTTTATTCTTTTGAGGTAAGGAATTCTTTAGTATTTTGTATGATATTGAATACTGTTATGTGTTCCTTGAAAAGAGTAGTGTTTTTGGAGTTGTGGGTGTGATTTAGGGTTTGATTTGAAATGATTTGGGTTGATATTTGGAGTATAAATAGGGGTTTTCAAATGGGTTTATGGGAAATGTTGTAGAAATGATTGTATTGTTTAGTTGAGCTGAAAAACTCATTTCTGAATAAAATTTTGAAGGAAACAAATATTTGGTTGGAAAACCTTCGAAATCATTGGTTTTGAATAAGGTGATGAATGATGGGGATATGTTGGACCTTTATTAAGTTGTAAAGTGGAATGAAACATATTTGTTATTTCTATATTGAATTTTTGAAATTTCTATCTGTTAGTTATAATTTATTTCTTGTATAGAAAAATCTGTTTTGAACTATTGGTGAAGGATAACTTTGATTGTTGTAAAAATTGTATGAGAATTAGAATAATTAAAACTAATTACTCATACATCTTGAATTTGAATATTGTTTCATATTATTACATTGAAAACGTATCATTTTTAGAAAAATTAGTGAGTACGTTGGTGAATCTAGTTAAGGTGTGTGGTTGTGGTTGTGGTTATGGTTAAATCTATATTGGTTTGTGTCCTGGTGAAAGTTAAAAAACCCTCGCAGTTAGGTGTCGATCCTGTTGTGGGAATTGAATAATAATTATTTTAAATCAATTTTATAGAATAAAATTGAAAGCAAAGTAGTTTATCAAAAAATAGGTTTTTACAATTCAATACATATATACAGAATAAGAAGAAAATAAAGAAAATAGCCTGTGTGATTCGGAGAGGCACGACAAAGACGTTGTCCTAAAGTCGTTATGCGCTCCCTCCGTGCAGGTTCTAATAATCACAAACGACTCCAAAATACAACCCAAGAATTCACAGGAATCTGACACAATGCACAGTTGCACCAGAAGAATTTGCCAAGTCTGTTTCAGTTGCCCAGAAATATGGAAGATATAGCCAAGAAGAGAAAGAGTATGTAATCAGAATATGTTTTTTTTTTCTGAGTAAGAGTCATCTTTTAAATAGACTCCTTGATGTCTGTTGGGAACAAACACACCCATTTATTTTGAAAACAAATACAAGTTTAAAAATTCAAACAAATAATACTATTAAAAGAAATAAATAAATAAATACAAATAATAATAACAAAATAAAATAAAAATAAAAAATAAAGTTTTGAAGCTTTCGGAAATCTCCAACAATCCCCCACAAGATTCAAAACTTTGTAAAACCGTCAAATAAATAAAATAAAATAAAAACATAATAATAATATGGGCAACTTTAAAACCATACAATGGGTGTAGGTGTTTTACAGACTT